CACAAAAGCATCCGCAGCGGGCGGTAGCTTGCTGCTGCCTCCGGACAAGGTGGCCCCTCTGCCCCCCTTGCTGGGGCCCCCGCCGCAGTATGGTCGGAGCGTAGCCGCGTTCCGAAGGCGGGAGATGATCGGAAAGGGAACTTACGGGGAAGTGTCGCGGGCGGTGGACAAAGATACTGGAGAGACCGTCGCTCTGAAGAAAATGAGCCTCACGCTCCCCGGCGAGGCGAATCAGAAAGAGGGGCTGGCCGTGACCGCCCTACGGGAGCTGAAGGTGCTGCAGAAGCTTAGGCACAAGAACGTGGTGGCTTTGAAGGAGGTAGTGACCGAGCACGGCCGGTCGCACATCCCGCACGAGGTGTACCTGGTCCTCGAGTACTGCGAGTCCGACCTGGCGGGCATCGTCAGGACGTGCTCTCTCCTCGGCGTGCACATCCGCAGCTACACCTACCAGATCCTGGCGGGGCTCGCCTACATCCAGCGGCACGGTCTCCTGCACCGGGACTTGAAGACTGCCAACATTCTGGTGACTCGCAACCACCTGGTCAAGATCGCGGACTGGGGCCTCTGCCGGTGGGAGCCGGAGCGGGAACGTGCCCGCCTGACGAATCCAGTGGTCACCCTGTGGTACCGGGCGCCGGAGCTCTTGCTTGGGACGGCGAAGTACGGCAAGGCGGTGGACATGTGGTCGTGTGGGGCCATATTTGTTGAGCTCTTGACGGGTAAGCCTTTCGTAGAGGGCCGCGATGAGCTGGACCAGCTGGCCAGAGTCTTCGACGTCTGTGGCACGCCCGCCTACGACGGGCAGTACACGGGTCCCCGCTTCGTGCGTCGCACTCCTCGCTTAGCGGAGGAGCTGCGTCGGCGGGGTGTGCGGGACGAGAAAGCCATCGCTCTTGCCGAGCAGCTTTTGGCTGTGGAGCCTAAAAAGAGGCCTTCGGCGGACGCGGCGGCTGACGATGACTACTTCTGGAGCCCCGACGAGGCGGGCAATTTCCACGCTCCAAGCGATGACCCGGCCTCGCTGCCACGCCTGGTGTCCTTCCGCTCCGGCGTAGACATGGATGACCTGCACGAATGGAACGTGAAGCGGAGATGAGCATAGAGGTGGTCCACGACGGAGGTGGAGGAGGGAAGCTGCGTGAGGGGTGGGAGGGCGGGGAGTGGAAGTTTGGGAGAAAGTGGTCTCG